CAGAACAACTGTGGTGGACTTGCAGAATCCAGGGCTCCACTCTCAGTAGAAACAAATGTGTTTCCCCTCCTGGACATAATACAAAGACACTTTTCTCAGATGGTGCCAAACATTACTTGGGGGTAATTCTGCCACTACAGAGGTGGGTAAGCTGAGCAGTGCTCAGCATTCCTGCCAGCCTTATTGTAACAGAGTCTAGTGATCTTAGTGTGTTGAGGCTTGTATATTTTAGCTGATTGAAAAGTCCTTGATGGTCCATGAATATTATTATACCAGGTGATCACAACAGTGTGTGTGGGTATGTGTGTGTGTGTGAGAGAGACAGATATGAAGAGAGGATGTCTAGATTATCCAACCAACCTGAACATTAACCATAATGAGGTCTGGCTAATGTCCAGCTAATGACAGACAAAACCCAATTCTTATCTATCTCAGCCTCATGCACTAGGATGTTTCAATGGCAGCAGCTTCCCCTCTAAATTCCTCTGACTTTAAGGCCATCTCTTCAGATGGCCAAAGTGTTACCACCAAAATAACATAAATATTGGTATAAAGGGGATCCGTGGTGAGAATGATAAATCTGCAAACAAATTAAAAACTCATTACACTAACAGCCAAACCAGAAACCTGCTGTGTGGATGATCTCCAGCCTGGATTTCACACACTACCTCTGCCCTCTGAGGCTTTCAGACCTGAACTGAGGTGACTATNGGCAGAGCAAAGCTTGAACAGAGGTTCAAAACTATGAGATTTGGAACACTGAACACATTATCAAGCAAACCAACAATGAATTTTCATAAACAATGAAATTTACATGGCAGAGGCCTTTCTCTGCAAACATACAGGTGTTAACTTTCTGCCAAATTCACCTGTGTGGGCCGGACCGCATTCTGGGTGAGGTTTACTGAGGTCTAAGGACTCATTATTCAAAGTGTGGTCCGTGGACCAGCAGTATGGTATCGCCCAGGAGCTCCTTGGAAATGCAGAATCTCATTGTTCCTGCTGAATCAGAATCTGCATTTTAACACAATCTCCAGGGGATTCTCAGGCACATTCAAATTTGGCAAGCACTGGTCAAAGGGTTAGAGAAAAGGTTGTAGATTTCTGTTCCTGCCTCTGGACCACATGAGAGGGGTAACCTCCAGAAAGGTCAACCCTCCATCAAGCTCATTACCTCTTTTTATAGGTCTGAAGGTCACCTGGAATTAGATTGTGTAACCTCAAGCTGGTTTACTTAAATTTGTTAGGCCTCAGTTTCCACACTGTAAAATGGGAGTAATTAACAATGGTAATTACCTGAAAAGGCTGTAGGGAAGGTAAATGAAACCAGGCCCAAAATTGGCTTAGTACAGTGCCTGGCACACAGCAGATTCTTGACAAACAGTTATTAGCTGTTATTAAACGCTCTTTCCCACTCCCCAGGAGGGAACAATGATGGGACAATGCCCACAAAAGAGGAACAGCTCCCACCTTCTGTTCACCCCCATCTTCCCTTGGTTTGGAAACTGGAGAGTTTTTCCAACAAGACTCAAACCAGAAGCACCGGGAAGCGAGGATGAATTGTCTCTAGGGCAGCATTAAAGGCTCTGGAGTTGGTTTAAATCCTCCACAGCTTATAAGCTGTGTGTGACATTGAGACTCAGTTTCCTCATCTGTAAAGCGGAAATAGGTGAATAATAGCACTTATTCTAATGGTCATTGTGAAGGTCAGATGTGCTATT